TTTAGGTTTACACGCTTGTGATATCTTATTTATGTCGTGTGATTTATGCAGTGAAGGTTTTTTCACAGAAACGCGTTAATTTTTACATGGTACGTAAGTAACAGCTTAATTCATTTGCAACGTGTAGTCGATTTCATGGCAGGTTCTTTCTATCACGCTTTTTTTTCGTAGTTTTTCTTTAAAAGGGGGGAAAAAAAAATTATAAATCCAAGACAACTATTTACAATACTCGGAAAGCACACCCAAGTGGCTAACGGAGCTATGATATATAGTATTAGAGGTAGAGCAGCTGTCGCGGACTCGTCAGATTGAGCACCTCCCAACAACGACGAGCCACACACGCCACATGTACGAGACGTAATATTCTTGTTTCTTTCCTCTTTTTAAACATCATACGTACCTACATAGTTACACGATGCTCTATTAGAGTCGGCCGGCGTTGGGAAAATTAACGATTTCATGATTGTTTTTGTTTTTAAAAATATTACATCAAGTTCCCAAAAAAAATTAAAGGTATCATCAATTCATTAAAAACACATAAAAATTTAACAAGTACAACTAAGATAACTTTTTCATGTATATTTTATCATCGTACAATTTATACACACGAACGAATTGTACTCAAGTTTAATAACATCACGTTTTTGAGTTAATAATTTGGTGCAATTATTTCGAGTTATCCGGCTTCGGTAAATATTTATATAAAAATTGTTTACGGTCTAATTCGTCACATTTAAATTTATTTGACTCGCGCGTTCATCGGCCCAATGTAATTAATTATGAAATTCTTTCACGATGGGCGCTACAGCTGAGAATCATCGAGAAAAAAAGTGCTATTTTCAGAATTTCAGATTAAGCTTCGACTTGGTTATTATTTACGGGTAAAAGAACTGAGATATTTTTAAGTTGCTCTAATTGTAGGGAAACAGGAAAACTTTTTGCTTTTAAAATATTAATTTTGTCAAAGCCAGGTAATTTTTTACATGCCCTGGAAAACTAAGACCTTTTATTATACACACCTTTTGAAGTCTCGTTTGAAGTCCTCATGAGGTTCGTGAGATTTGTTTTACTAATTCAAAGAAATACGCGTTGGAGATTGCAAATGATACCTGAAGAAAAAAAAAAAAGAAGAAAATAAACAAATGAAAAGAAATAACAATTAAACGAAGCTCAAGGATATTTCAACGATTAATTTTATATTGCATGTATGATACCTACTGCCAATTTGTCGATACCCTGCGTTATTTTTATTGCACAATCTTTTTCCTTACTCATTAATTTTTATCTTAACGTGACGTGCTCTTGTCTGAACTGCTTGCATGCGATCAATGAGTCTCAGCGATACTCTCATCGTCGTGTATACGACAAAACAGTTCATAACGAGTTACAACTTGATTGGCTCCAACCAAAACAGGGCCGTCTCTATCTCTTATATGAATATAATATATACTACACATTATGTACTGTGCATTTGGTTGTCAAAAGAGACTTTGCTATGTCGCAAATTTCTTTTTGTTTTCGATTAATACGTACTTGTATTTCTACGGTTAATAGAAATAATAATACGGTCAAACAATTTACCTCGATTTACGTACTATGCGAGTACACGAGTAAATAATCTATATGTAACAAGTGGATTTTTTTTTGTCAATTTCAGATTTCACGGCCAGTCGTCGATGGAAACCATCAGATTTAAGAATCGATCGCCTAGAGAAGTGAACTGCATCTCGGACAACAGCTATCCAGTGCAACTCGACTCTCGATGCGAGTAAACCATCAAATCTAAGTGAATACCCCCCTCCGCTATACTGACCAAAAAAAAAATAAAAATAAAAATAAAAAGCGAGCCGAGGCGTACGTGGAGCGTCTCGCGCTTTTTTCGGGGAAAAAGTGGAGGGTTCGACAGCCTTTCTGGAGGACCTCATCGCGGCCGAGCACCACCGGCAACAACAACAACAACAACAGCAGTACTGCGACAATCAACAACGCGACGGCCAATTGCAGGATCAGCAGCGAGTAAATGCGGCCACCTCCGTTTTCATGAGCGGCTACACCAGCGCGGCTGCCGAGAGGATGATCTCGCACGTTATGCCCGTCACGGGGGTCGGCTCCTCGTTCGCCCCCACCGTTAATTTGCACAACGAGTTTTACCATCATTACAATGTGAGTGGCCTTTTTCCTTTTTTTTTTATGTGTATATAAATAAGCAGGACCTGTAGCTGTAATTGTTACGTGGATCATCTTCACTGATGGAAAAGAAAAACAAATTTCGTCCATTGAATGGTCATCTGGTGTCATTCCGTTGTCTGGAGACTTTTTACTTTGGGCAACGTATAATTATAACCGTCCGGGACAGCAATTTCTATAATCGATGTACTTGCGATGAAAATTATTGTTCTAAACAGCAAAAAGTCTCTACACGACGGGACAGTACCAGAATTATCATTCTAGCACAGTAATTTTTTTTTTTTTTTTCTTTCAGTGTACTTACATTTAAAATGTAAAAGAATCATTTATTAAAGTCAAATAATATTAATTTAAATCAAATAAATAATTGCTTTACAATGTAACATTTAATAGATTTAATTTGTTTTGTTAAAAAAAATATTTTATTGTTTGTATTCGTATGAACGTTTATTTTGATTGGCAAAATTACTCTTAAGTGTTCAAATGATGTGGATTACTAATATTATCTGTATTATTAATAAACCAATCAATATCCAATCACTGCAGTTGCTAGTGCTCCTGCGAATTCGAGATTATACACGTTATAACTCCTCTTGCGTATCCAATGAAAGTTGAGAGTGAAAAAAAAAAAAAAAAAAAATTGTTTATGAAGCCAAAAGATAAAGTAGCAAAATATTTATTCGTGCTGACGACCTTCTCACAAGTACTTTTTTTTTCCTCTTTCATTAAGCGCCCATATATATTCCTCGATAGTTAGGGACGAAAAAGAATTAAAAAAACTAAAACAAAATCCATGCCGAAGCTTATTGCCCATTCGACCGATTGTTTGTACCGTAATTTGTTCAATACGATAAGATAAGCCTAATAAAAAAAAAAAAAAAAGTATGTGCAAGTATGCGCGCACCTATATATTGATAAACATTGCGAGGGGATATAAAAAAACGTTTTCCCGCCAAGCGTTGCGTTGCGTCACTTAAACATGTTTGTACAAACATTGTCAAATCATTGGGAAAACAATTCTTTGCAATAATAATTACACAATCACGTTGACTCGCTGCACGTCTTACGCTCCTATCGACTATTGGTTTTATATGTATATACATACACTTGACAATTTTTATCAAAAACCATACAGTTAAGTGACGTTATCATAGCTTCGTTACGAAATTGCTCTTGTGTACAATATATTATTATATATAATTAACGGCTGAAATCAAGGATTACCACCATCAATTGCCGCACAATGGTTTTCCGAGGGAATTGAAATTTTCATACGCACACACAGGCTGTATTTTATCGGAATACAATATAATTGCAACAAAACAGCGCGGCACTGTGGAGTAAGTGGCTGATCTTTGTGTTCCGAAGTCGCGCCATCCGCGAATCCCACAATTATTTTATGGAAAAGAAAAGCAGAAGGAAGAGAAATACATCGGTATGAGCTCGATTTTAAGGGAACTAACTTATGCTTATTAGCCTTTTTTTTTTATTTTTTTTTTTTTTATCGCTTGAGTATTAACACACACTCGTATATTTCTAACGGTCGATTAAATACTTTTTGATTGTAAAACAAAACAATTCGTCACTCGTGCCGTTTAGACGAAGCAACGCCCAGACAATGATGATAAAAATAAATGGAACCTACGGATTCTCAGAGCCAAAAAAAAAAAAAAAAATTTCCTTCTCGCGGGTCAAAGCGCGAAGCGCGCATCTTACAATATATTGACGCTCTCTCTCTCTCGTCGTTAATCTATAAGTCACGAGTTCCCTTCCTCTTTCTCATTCCCGCGCCACATAATATCGTGCGGAGGGAAAAAAAAAAGGCTCGTCCGAGATCAACTCGCCGCGCGTATATTACACGCTGATAACGACACGAGTGTGGCCCACCGTACTCGCAATAATACAAGCCTGATGAATGTTTTTCGGTGTGTTGTATACTTTGTAACCCTCACAACTAAAAAATACCACAATGTGCGTGAACAAATACTTCGTCGTGGATTCTCATTATATCACGTATATATATACACATTGGCTTAAATAATGTGATAACTTTCTTTCTAAAAATAATTTTGAAAAAAAAAAAAAAGGTCTCGTGTCATTTTATCGGGCATGGTGTAATCGTGAAATACCCGCGATTATGAGAGAAACAACGTGCAAGTGTTTCATTCGCTCGTAACGTTTCTTCCTTTTTCTTCGAGTATATATACCTATATACGCGCCGATAAGTGGGTTATCGGGAGCCAAGGTCACGTATAGACACTTGTGAGCAAAGAGAGGCTTTGAGCATTAATTACAAAAATGTGGTGGATTTACCAGCAGCAACGCAGATTATCTCGTATAGTATCGATGGAAAAATCAATGTCAGAGGCTGCTGCTGTGCTCACGACTATGGCCGCTGTATCGAGTATTTTGCACTTTTAATTTGACGTATACATGTATACATGCAATATAAATGTCTGACGCGTTTAATGATGTTTCAAATCTTCTTAAAGCATCGCATTAATTTGTGTACCATTTTTATTGCAATGCAACCTAACAATTGATAAAAAGTCACTAGTTCACATTGTCACGTTGAAGTAAATGTGTTTATCGGCGTGATGAAACATCGAACCTTCCTTACTCGGACCTTTGTATTAAATATTTGAGTATATACCGCTGAAAAAAAAAACAGCCGATTTTTTTTCAATGTTTGGTGGAACTTTGTTCCTGAAATTTCAGCCCAAAAAGCGGGAGGGAAGGAAAAAAAAGTCACGACACACGGCGTTCCCCATATATATACATGAAAGCGCATGCACGTATGTAATGGGATGGAGATGAAGCGACTGGATGACAAGATAGAAAACGTTGGTGCGAAAGGAGAGGAGGGAGAGAGTGTCCCATTAGAGCCGCTCTGGCGCTGCGATTTCTCAGTGTCGTGTCGGTCTGATGCACTTGCGTGGTTGCGGTGTGAAGGAGCCGATCTAGCCCCATCATATATATATATATATATATATATATATACGTGTACTCGCGAAAGAGATCCGATCGGTATGGTGTTGACGACGTGTATTACGGAGTCCGCGGGCTGAGCCGCTCTTGTCGTCGCATCGTTGGGTGTAAATGCGTATTGGTGCAGTGGCGTCGTCGCGGAATGCACTGCGTATAATATCTCTTGTCTCCTTTTTTGAACGAACGCTCAGGATTTGCGAAACGCAATTATTTTTTTTTTTTTTTTTTTTTTTTTTTCTCCTGTATAGTTTACCCTTCGAGTGAATATTAAAACGAATGGAAAGGGAGGAAAAATCGTTCGCCCAAATATCACCGAGATCCGAATTTTTTTTTTTTTTTTTTTTTTTTTTTTTTTTTTTTTTT